TCAAAGCCCAAAAGGAGGCGAAGGAACGAACCTGAAAAGCCACAACAAGGCGGTGTCAACGATGTGTCAAAACTCAGACAACCAGAAGTTGTGCGAAGATGTGTTGTCCTCATCCAACAGCTCAGACCCAAAGGACTACATTGCGACAGTTGTGAAAACCTCAATGGACAGTGTGATCAAAGCCTTGAACATGAGCGATAGATTCTCCGTGGAACACGGCAACAGCAGCGCTGGCATGCAGATGGCTCTGGACGACTGCAAGGACTTGTTGCAATCCGCCATGCACGATCTGGAAGCCTCTGGCGTGATGGTGAAAGAGAGCAACATTCAGGACGTTAGCCAACGCACTGCGGAACTCAAGAACTGGTTAGGCGCTGTGGTTGCATACCAGCAATCGTGCCTCGACGGTTTCAACACCGACGGCGAGAAAAAGGTGCAGGAACAGTTGCAGGCTGGAAGCTTGGACGATGTCGGCAAACTCACCGGTCTTGCACTCGATGTCGTCTCTGGAATCACACACATTCTCGAATCCCTCGACTTGAACTTGGCTCTCAAACCTGCTTCTCGTCGCCTTCTTGAGATCGACAACGAAGGCTACCCCACATGGGTCTCCGCCGCTGATCGCAAGCTCTTGGCTCAGATGAACAATGGCGGAGTTACTCCCCATGCTACAGTAGCCAAGGATGGCAGCGGCCAATTCAAGACCATCTTGGATGCTATCAACTCCTACCCCAAGAACCACCAAGGTAGGTTCATCATCTACGTCAAAGCCGGTGTCTACGACGAGTACATCACCGTTGACAAGAACAAGTTGAACCTTCTCATCTACGGAGATGGCCCCACCAAGACCATCATCACCGGACGCAAGAACTTTGCAGAGGGAACCAAGACAATGAGGACGGCCACCTTCTGTAAGTCCAATATATACATATTATGTCATATAATATGGACGTATTAAATACAATACTAATGTACGTATATATAATTGAATGTGTGTGCATGCATGCAGCTACTGTTGCCGATGATTTCATGGCCAAGTCCATTGCATTCGAGAACACCGCCGGAGCAGAGGGACACCAAGCAGTGGCCCTCCGCGTGCAGGGTGATCGTTCAGTGTTCTTCGACTGCGCCATGCGCGGATACCAAGATACATTGTACGCACACGCTCACCGTCAGTTCTACCGCAACTGCGAGATCTCTGGAACAATCGACTTCATCTTCGGCTACTCCACCACCTTGGTCCAAAACTCAAAGATCATCGTGAGGAGGCCCATGTCGAACCAGCAAAACATCGTGGTGGCTGATGGAACAGGCCAGAAGAACATGCCGACCGGTGTTGTCCTCCACAACTGCGAGATCATGCCCGAGCCAGGTCTCTTCCCTGACCGCATGACTGTGAAGACATACTTGGCTAGGCCATGGAAGGCATTCTCAAGGGCAGTGTTCATTGAGAACACCATTGGTGACTTGATTCAGCCAGAAGGATACATTCCATGGAACCCAACTGAACCCAACACTCAGGACTGTTACTTCGCTGAGTTCGGCAACACTGGACCTGGTGCCAATACTCAAGCTAGGGCCAAGTTCGGAAAAGGTCTCATCAGCAAGGCGGAGGCTACCAAGTTCACTGCGGAACCATGGCTCCAAGCTTCCTCTTGGTTGCCTGCGTCTGGCATTCCTTTCGATCCTAGCTTCACCAAGGCTTAAGCC